TTATGCAATCTTGGACTTTGTTGTCATTGTCGGTTGTTGATTTGTCCTATTCTCATTGTCTGATGGATTATAATGGCTGTTTGTACAAAATTTGAAAACTATGCATACTCTCTCTCTTCATAGATAGATAGATGCGTGTCTTTATGTTTATCTGGCTAAATTCGATATGGTTCCAGCAACAGTTTTTACAGTAAGATATGTTTTATATGCATGTACAATCTTTAATATACATATATACACATGAAACATACATATATGTTATCTGTGGGTGTGGGGCAGAGAGGGTGTTCGCCCAGGGCACCAAACAGGCTAGGACTGCCACTGCTGACAAAACACAGAATGTGAAAAAGAGGGGAGGCATGATAACAGAACCTAAAGACTAGAAATGACAAATATTAGATCAAGCAGAAAAACAATTAAAAGAACATAAATAGAAATAAACATCAAATATTACAATATACAATACAATACGAAAGAAATTCCACAAATTCAATACACGCTACAATTGCAGTGTGAACAATCTGATTTTTTAAAATGTTTACATAGAATTGGCCGCATTTCAGCACTGACCAATAAAAAATTAATTAACTCCAGTGTGGATTAGTTGATGATTTTTTAAAGTATCCATGCGACGAAAACCCTTTCCACACTGACAACAGACAAATGGTTTAATGCCAGTGTGGATGGCCTGATGTTCTTTCAAGTAACTCATGCAGCTAAAAGATTTTCCACACTGATCACAGCTGAATGGTTTCAATCCAATGTGGAGGAGATGATGTTTTTTTAAGTTTCTACGCCGAGTAAATGATTTTCCACACTGATCACAGCTGAATGGTTTAATTCCAGTGTGGATGAGCTGATGTTGTTTTAAATTTGTAATATGAGTAAAAGCCTTTCCACACTGACCACAGACAAATGATTTAATTCCAGTGTGGATGAGAAGATGATCTTTTAAGCTGCCACTCTGAGTAAAAGACTTTCCACACAGATCACAGGTGAATGGTTTAAATCCAGTGTGGATGAGTTGATGTTTTTTTAAACAGTTACTATGAGTAAAAAACTTTCCACACTGATCGCAGCTGAATGGTTTAAATCCAGTGTGGATGAGTTGATGTTTTTTTAAGCTGCCACTCTGAGTGAAAGTCTTTCCACACTGATCGCAGCTGAATGGTTTAATGCCAGTGTGGACGAGCTGATGTTGTTTTAAGTTGCCATTTTCAGTAAAAGCCTTTCCACACTGATCACAGCTGAATGGTTTTAATCCAGTGTGGATGAGTTGATGTTTTTTTAAGCTGCTATTCTGAGTGAAAGTC